AGCCAAGTACTATGATTTTGATGATAATAAACATTATTTTTTCTTGTATGCTACTATTTGTGTATATCTATTTTATTTTCCCTGCTCACTAAATTTTTAGGTCCACATGTTCACTTGGATTATCAATCAGCTTAAGATTAGGTAGACAAGTATTGAGTTAGTTTGAAATTTCCTTTCGAATGAATCTTTTACCTTTTCTTGAGTAAAATGTATTATGATAGATCATGAAGCTAATTAACCTTGCACACATACACTTAGGGGGAGAAATTTAGTGAGTTAGATCTTTTTTTATTTTTGATTATATCATATAGGACGATTTCAAATCATCCTGGATGATTAGTTAAAAATAAAAATCATAATTAGGGCATCCTATTAAGATGAGATAATTAACTAATCATATAAGATGATCATGATCGTCCAGGATGATCACGGTCATCCATGATGATTAATTATAGGTATGAAATTTAGCCACCAATCATATTTTAAGCATATTTTTGAAATTGCAATTTTTGTCTACTCATCATGGATGATCGACAACATCCGGGACGATACAAGACAATCATGCCTAAATTGATCTAATTATTAGGAGAGTAGTTATAGTTAAATTATTTAGTCACATCGTACAGGATAATCCACTATAATTATCTTAGACGATCTATTATACTTTAGTTGGATGATACCCATCGTCCAAGATGAAAACCATGATTTTCCTCTAATCGTCTAGGTCAATCGTCTAGGACATCATGAGACTATTATGAGACAATTTATTGATTGCCACCCATATTGAACTAATCATCCCGGACGATCGCATAATCGTCCATGATGAGCTATGCAAATTCTTGAACAGATCGTACAGGGCAAGGTTGATTGTACAGGCTGATTGGGGTATTTTGAACTTATCGTACAAGATAATATCCCGATCATCCTAGATGATCAAATGCGTAGAATTAAAAATTAGTGCTTTTTTAGAGCTCTTCTATTTAAGCTTAAGCATTTTTCATTTGATAAAATATTTTGCTTAAGTTCTAACCTAAGGGAGACTTGAGAAGGAGAATTTCAGTTTGGGAGAGAGAGAGGGAGAATGTAAATATATGAATTTTTTCGTAATTTTTGGGCAATGTTGAAAATACTTAAAAAAATTGACACATGTCGGTACAAGTGGGGATTTTGGGACCGTTTGGTATCCATTTTTTAATCCAATTTCACCAATAGTTTTTAAATAAATTGATTTATTTTATGGATTTTTTTATAATTTTTAAATCTTAAAATGATTTATTTGAATTTTATACTAAAGAATTAATTAGATTAAATATTATATTAATATATCTTAAATCATTAATAAGAATTTTTTTATAAAATATTTTTTCCCATTTCACTTTCGACTAAAAGAGCCTAGGAAAGGGAAATGAGACGAAAATTTAAAGAGAGAGGAAAAGAGAATTATGATTTGAAGGCCATGTAATAATTTTTTTTTAATCATGCTAGTTGAAAATTTTACTTATCTCGCTGTAAGGAACCTTTACCTATTTCTTATTTCAAAGATTTTGTATTTTGATATTTTTACGATCAAATTTGTGTTTATATTACCTGAAAATGACAACCGGTTTTGTATAAGTAAAACATTCACAACGTAACTTTTTTTATGTTATAAATATTAAGATTATTAACATTTTAAGTATTTATTTGAGATTTATTACTGGGTGATTTTAAAATATATAACTTTTTTTGCCTACTTAAAAGTTTATTTTAACATTTAAAAATAGTGATTTAATTCAACTAAAGCTTTATAATATTATTTTATGTAATATATTATAATTTAATTAAATTCTAAAAATATGAATTTTTTATCAGTATGATTTTTATTATCTACTTTTAAGACATTTTGACACTTTCTAAATTAAACTCAGTTATGCATTATTTGATGCAATATATAATAAATAAATATGGATGTGTGATTAAGATAACTATTATAGTACTATAATAATAATGTGCATGTAAAAGATAAGTAAAGACTGGTTGATTCATTGATTAAAGACTAATTAACATGTATAAGATGGTGGGCAGTGGGATTTCCTTTAAATATTGTCATTTAGTATTATCCTCTAATGATTCACGTGATATACTAATTGTGAGTTATATGGAGTTGAATATAGTGTTGATGGGTAAAGAGTGACTACTCTGTTTATTGAGCCAATGGTTTACTGATATTGATATAATACTGGAAAAATCGTGATAGTCACGACTTCTTACTTATTTAATGTGACTACTGAAATATATGTTCTTGAGATATTACTCTTATTATTATATAAATTTATTATTATTACACACATTTAATGTTATTATATTATTTTGTTTCTCTTGCATTGGATTATTATTATTATTATTGATATAGTTTTGATATTATTTAATACTACTGATATATTGTATTGATACTAAGCATGCAATATACTGAGCCGTGATCTAAAATACATGGATAGTATAGATACACTCTTATATAATTTTAATGCATTGAAATGATTTAAAAAGTCTTTACCAATGTTTAATTTTATGTTTTATATAATTTATATTTCGAATGGTATTACAGATAGGACGATTACTTTATATATTTGATACTCATGTTGATTTCTTGTTTACTTACTTCTATATCGTAGAATATATAAACAGTAAAATACTATGATACTATTTATATTCTACTACTATTGCATATGAATTTTATTATTTTTGCATTAATTCAATGATTATATGAATGTAACTATTATTATTTGACTTTTGACATGCATATTGCTCATTTGTCATTCTTTGTATAAATTGTAGGTTTTGGTGACCTGCTTATTTTCTTAGCTCATTATATGTGGTTAAGTGATTTCGATTCAGGATAGAGTATGAGTGTTATTGAGTCAGATTACTTATATTATGTTTTTTTTTTTAATTATTCTTTTATACTCATTATAAAGTACTTGTGATATGATTGTATAGATTATGAGTAGTGTATATAACTTTTTGCAATAAATATAGATGTATAAATTTCTTTTTTAATAGAATATATGGTTGTTATTTATTACTAGTACTAGTATATGATATTATATATCTCTAGTTATTTTTTAGTAAAATATTAAATGAATAATTCTTTTAATTTAGATTCTGGAGCACCACACAAACAATAATAGGAGGTTCAACCCAATCAGATTGGCAAGCGAAAGGTCATTAGGAGAAGTCGTGACATTAACATCATTTAGGGGAGGATTTAAGATATGTCAAGTTAATTGATTCATAAAACTCAAATCAACATTAACACCCACACTAGTCACCCAAGAAAAAACCATTAGAATAACATTATGCGTAGAAGCAATCAGACAAATACGAGTTTCCCCATCTTCATGTTTGACATGAACATTGAGGAAAGCCTTATTTGGCTCAAAAATAACCCGCACCAAAGGATTAATGGAAGGGGTCAGTAAATGTTCTATCATAGAAACTTTGTCATTCTCCACAATATCAACAATATGCTTAGCAACGATAACAAGGGTGAGTAAAGGGTTAATAGCCATAAGATTATGACTATCAATTGTTTCCTGTGCATTCAAATCAGCAGAAAGCCAATGAGGAGCAATGCCATTCTTCACAGTAGGAATAATAGGTTTAAAAGCAATTAGATGAGCCCTATCTGAGTAGGCATGAAGAATAATACAATTATTTTTACAAAGTCCCAGGAATCTTCAATGATCACAGAAAGGAGGAAAATCCTCAAAAACAACTTATTGAATGTAACCTTGATTATCAGGACCAATCCATACAGACTCAGGGTAGGATTTGGAAATATCCAATTCAGCAAGGATCCGGGCAACAAATGGCAGCAACCCTACAACAATAACATTTTCATTTTTCAAAGGATGACCAAATAAAGAGCCTAAACAGTGAAGAATGCGTGGGGAAAAAAGATGCGGCCTAAGATTTGGGAACCAAACCTAAACTAGAATGATCAGAGACTCCATAGTGATATCAAAAAACAATTCCACTTAAACAATTTCATGTAGCAATTAAAAATAAAATAAGAACGATGAGAAAATACTCTTCTATAATCCAAATCTTTAGGAAGCTAGATTAAAACATGCCTTGGATCCAAACAGTCATAGAACATTGACCGATCAACTTACGGTTAAAAAAAACTTACCAATTGCTTCAAGCGAGGGTATGCAATTTTGAAATTTATCGACTTAAGCAAACTCAAAAGATTTACCAAGAGCCAGGATTTCAGCTTAGGAAATCCACAATGACGGCAACCTGTAATGTGAAGTTGTTTTTAGATCAGGAAACTCAGTTGAGGAACTAGACCCATACAATGCTTCAAGAAAGGAATGAGAAGATTCCCGCCAATCAAGGAAACCAAAGTCATAAAGTCGATTAGGCACCATCTGTCCGGAGAACGACCGACAATGGAACAATAAAAAAATAATAATAAGAAGACAAGCAAAATAAAGAAAAAAGAAGACATGTGGAGAAGAAATCCCAAAGCGACGAGGCCATGGAGTGGCCAGAGAACTAGGGAAGTCGAGAGCGGCTGCAAGGTCGAGCATGGAGCATAACCAAATTTTTTTTTTAACCAATTAATATTAATCAATTATAATAAATTTAATTTGATCTTTTTGCTTAAATTAGGGTTAAGAAAAATGGATTTAGCTTTAACAATGAGCCTAATTAAAAAATAATATACAGCTGTTTACGCGTACTATTTTGATTGGCCGTCCGTATATTTCTTCATAAGTGAACATTTCTCCTAAATTTGAGACCTTAAACGGTGGCATTCCGCATAACCGCACGCCTTTCTTCCACCACTAGCTCTGAAGAACTTCTCCTCAAATTAGAAAAGAAAAGGAAGAATTTCTCAAACCATTAGATAACTGAGACAAGGATTGATTCTCAGAAAAAGCTTGTGGGTTTAGTTCCATGACTCCTTGAATCTCTCTTTGCTTCATTCATATAATACTCAGAAAAGAAATCTAATGGATGGGGCATTAGAGATTCAACAGCAATTGATTAATCTCCAGCAGGAGCTAACCAGAGCACGAGAAGAACGCTCCCAAGCTCTAAAAGATCTGGAGAAAATAAGAACGAAAACCAGAGGCTTTATCGAATTCCATGAGAACGAGGCAAATAAAGCAAAGGAATCAGAAAGAAAAATGCTGGAATCCCTCGTCTCGCAAACGAAACGGCTGGAACAAACAAAGATATCTTTAGAAGAATCCAAGCTCGAAATAGATTCCCTCCGTGAATCCCTAAAAATCCTTTCTTTAGACAAAGAACTGTCCGATGAGCTCCATAATCTCAAGAACGAGCTCAAGTTAGCCTTGCAGGGCGAGGAGCAGAGCAGGAAAGCAATGGACGTTCTAGCTCTAGCTTTGATAGAAGTCTCTAACGACTCAAAACAAACCAAGGCTATGCTAAGAAGCACAGAAACCGCTTTAAGATTTGCGGAGGAGAAACTCCGAGAGGCCGGTGAAGAATCGCAGAGGCTGAAAAAGGAAGCAGATGAAGAAGAAGCAGTCTTTATAAACTGTATAAAGGCATCAGAAAACGAAATAATGGAAATCAGAGAAGAGAACAGGAGATTAATGGAATTGAATCGGGATTCGAGGGAAGAGATATGGAAGCTAAGGGATATTTTAAAGCAAGCGGTGAACGAGGCTACTGCTGTGAAGGAAGCGTTGGAAATTGCGAGAGCAGAGAATTGTAGCATCAAGGATTTGGTTAGGGAGAAAGATGACGCGTTGAATGGGTTAAAGCATGAATTAGAAAGCTTAAAGGTGAGTGAGGCGGCGGCGACGGATAGTGTGAAGGTGCTGAAGGCGTTGGTTGCTGCGACTTCTTCGATGGAGCAGTGGAGGATGGTGGAGAAGCCAGTGGTGGTGAGGAGGCAGAATTCATGGGGAGAGATGGAAGGAATTGAGAAGATTGAGGGAGGTGGTGGGTCGCCATTGGTGAGGAGTCGGAAGGATGGAAAATGCGTGCTTTTTGAGAACAGGAGGTTGAAGGTGGAGGATGGGAAGTTTGAATGGAGTAAGGAGAAGAAGAAGAAGCAATTTTTGAGGAGTTTCAGTGACATACTGAGGAGGAAGAGTTTTCAGAGATGATATATTGATTGTTTCTTCTCAGGGGTTTCGTTGTTGCTCTTCTTCTGACATGGTGCCTTAGAAATTGCCTATTTTCTTTTCCTGTTATAGATATGAGAATAAAATCATCAATTTTTTTGAATTCTTTAAGAACAAAATGCCTCTCTCTCTCTCTCTCTCACACACACGCACACATTGTCCTAGAAAAACTATGAAATCTTTTTTTGGGACATACTATGAAATCTCAAAGCTTAGTAATAATCTTACTTCTCTCTTGAGAATACACAGGAGTTTTTGGGAGCCATCAATAAAGCTGGGATTGTTATATTTTATGTTTTTTTCAAAATAAAATTTGTAATGGGCCATAAAGGAAGGGATTGCTACCTTTTATGTTTTTTTCTCAAAGCTTATGTTTTTTTTTAGAGATTTTACTACTAATGCAAATTTGATACAAGAGGGGAATAAGAATAGAGAAAATTAAAAAAATAAAATAATAAGGAAATAAAAAGTTTAATGTCAGAGGAAATGAACAAAAGAAGAAAAGTTTTTATTTTATTTATAAAAAATTAGGTCATTTTGCCAAGTAATGCAAGAATATGAAATTGAACGACAAATCAAATATTAACATTGCAGAGACTAATAATGTTATTATTTTTGTAATCTCAAAAGTTAATGTTGTTGAAGGAAAAACATGGGTGATAGATTCAGGAGCCACTCATTAAATATGTGCAAATAAAAATTTATTCCCCTCCTATACTAGTCTTGGCCAAGAAGAAGAACAAGTTTTCATGAGAAATTCTAGTGTTGCAAAGGTTGTTGGAAAAGGAAATATTAACATCAAGCTTACATCTAAAAAATTTCTTACACTACTCTCTAATGTTTTACATGTACCATAAATTAGATACAATTTGATTTTTTTTTCTCTTTACTTGGAAAGTTGGTGGTAAAGTTATTTCTAAGAGTGATAAAAAAGTATTAAAAAATGATAATTTTGTGGGAAAAATATTACGTGAGAAATGGTCTAATCATGTTAAATATTATAAATGATATTAATAAAACTTCTTCTGCTTACTTAACTTGAGTGTATGGATTTATGACATAGTAGATTGAGGTATGTAATTTTTTCTTATATTAAGAAAATACATGAATTAGAAATAATACAAAATATATCTATTTCTAATTTTGATAAGTGTCCCATTTGTGTAGAGGCTAAATCAACTAAGAAAGTATGAAAATCTATAATGAATAAAGCATCAAAATTATTATCGGTAATTCATTATGATTGGGTGACATGAAAAATAATATATCTAAATGTGGCAAGAGATATTATGTGACATTTATTGAAGATTTTTCTATGTACATATTTGTATATTTACTTAAAAATAAAGATGAAACCAAATCAAAATTTATGAAATTAAAGCTTAAGTAGAAAATAAAGTAGAAAGAAAAATCAAGAAACTTATAATGGATAGTAAAGAAGAATATGACTCAAGAATTCTTAGTTATTTTTGTGTAGCTAATGGTATTATTGATGAGGTAATACCACCTTATTCTCATGAATCTATCGGTACAATTGAATGTAAAAATAGAACCTTATCATGCTCATTAGTTTAGGTGCTTCTTATCTATGGGGTGAAACTATTTTATCTGCATGCCATTATAAATAAAATTATTTTAAAAAATGGAAAGACACTCTTTAAATTTTGGGAGAATAGAATACCCGATGTAAAATATTTAATAGTGTGGTGGTGTCTTGCTAAGGTTCTTCTATAAGATCTTACGAAAAGGAAATTGTGTTCAAGAACATGTTATTTTCTTTTCATAGGATATACAGAAAATAGCGCAGCCTATTGATTTGTGGTTCATAAGAGTTATGCTATAGAATGTAATACTACCATAGAATCTAAAAAAGTTGAGCTTTTTTAGGTTACATTTCCTTTGAAATTATCTATTGACAAACCTATTTTAGTTGATCTAAGTAATAATTATACTCCTCTTATAGAATCTAGAAGTAAAAGAATGAGAAAGGAGAAAAACTTTGGAAATGACTTTTACACATTCTTACTAGATAACAACCACTTAATTTTTTTTGAAGTGATGCCTTCGTTATATGCTAATTTTTGGAAGGAAGCCATTAAAAAAGAAATGGATTATATTATGTAAAACCATACTTAACAGATAGTGAATTTACCTCTAGGAACTAAAACCATTGGATGTAAATGGATCTTTAGGAAAAAGCTCAAGCTGGATGGATCAATTGAAACATATAAAGCTAGGTTGCTGGCTAAATAATATACTCAAAATAAAGATTTAGATTATTTTGATATTTATTCTCAAGTTATTAGAATTGCTTCTATTATAGCTCTTATTGCTTTAGTTTCAATATTTAAATTACAAATTCTTCAAATAGATGTGAAATCTGTCTTCTTAAATGAAAATTTAAAGGAGAAAAAAATATATGGATCAACTAGAATGTTTTGTAGTACCTAGAAATAAAATAGAGTTTGTAAGTTAGTTAAGTCTTTATATGGACTAAAATAAGCTCATAAAATGTGGCATGAGAAGCCTCATAAAACATTAATATCTAATGGTTATAAGATTAATGAAGCTGATACTTCTATTTATCATAAGTTTAATAGTACAAGATAAGGAGTGATTATTTATATTTATGTAGATGATATGCTTATTTTTGGATATGATCTTTCTAAAATTATAAAAACTAAATCCTAACTACCTTCTAATTTTAACATGATGGATTTTAGGGAAGTAAAAATAATATTGGGAATAAACATAACAAAATTAGGTGATATAGTTATAATTTCTCAAGAATATTACTTAGAAAAGATGTTTAGGAGATTTTGGCATGTTGATTTTATTGTAGGTAGTACTCCTTATAATGCGAGCATATATCTAATAAAAAATTGGCCAAACTTGTATCGCAATTTGATATGCTCAGGTTATATATAGTCTTATAAATCATACGAATTGTCCTAGGCCTGATATTGGTTATGCTGTAAATAGGTTGGGTACATATACCCATAATCCTAATAAAGATCATTGGTTTACTTCAGTGAGAATACTTAAATATTTAAACGGAACTTCTAATTTAGGACTCCTTTATTGTGGTTATCATTCTATTCTTGAATGATATAGTGATGCTAACTAGATCAATGATTTTGATGAAATGAAATCTAGCAGATATATTTTTACTTTGGTAAGTAAAAGTCTTCTAAACAGACTTGTACATCTTGGTTCACTATGAAATAAGAATTCATTGCTTTAGAAATAGAAGAAGGAGAAGTAGAATTGCTTAGAAATCTCTTAGACAATATTCCAAATTTTGAGGGACCTATCTCATCTGTGCCTTTACAATGTGAATGTCAAGAAGGCATACTCGCCTAAGATATAATATTGGAAAGCAATTGCTTAATGATGAGATAATATCCCTAAATATTAGGATGTAAGTGAAGAACTTAGTATACCTTCTTACAAAACCACTTGGAAAGAAGCAAGTGATGGACACATTGAGGGGAATGAGACATTTACCTATAAATAAAGTTGATATTGATGGTAACCCAACCTATTTTTATGGAGATTCCATAAAATAGGTTCATATGAGAAGAGCAAGTCATTATTCAACTTAATAGATTATTCAAAACAAATATAAAGGTATATTCGTAAATTATTGAATAATGTGATTTATAGTGATATAAAGGTTGAGTTTTTACTCTTAATGAATTCATAATTATTTTAAATTTTTATGCTTACTGTGAGGCACAATTAATGAATTCACCTATATGATTGTAAAGATTAGCCACCTTTTATGAGAATATAAGCAATTCTATATATCATTATTGAAACCTAAATTTAAATGCATGACTATAAAGCGTTAAATTGCAATGAACAACTATCATGTATTTGATGTAATGTGCGTGGATAATTTTGTTTATACTCAGGGAATCAAGTTCATAGAAATATTAAATTCACTTAGTTCCTATAAAATTTTCTTATCCTAAAATATTGGTTTGTAGTCCAAAAGATAGCAATATATATGCATTATATTTTTTGCTCCGAAAAAACTTTCATTCTAGATTTTACTTTTCTATTAAAAACGTGGATGATTGCTACATTTTATGTTTTCTTCCAAAACAAAATTTGTAAAAAAAAAATACTTATTACTATTGTAATAGAAATACTTATTACTATTTTAACGAAAAATACTTATTATTATTATAATGGAAATAATTATTGTTATTATAACATAAACACTTGTTATCACCGTTGTAATTGAAATACTTATTATTGTTATCATAATATTTGTAATTAAAATGGCCATCTATTTCTTGTCTATATAAAGCCTTGTTGAGTATGATTAATGTTGCAAATATGGGACCAGGTCTGTATTTTTTATGATAACAAACATTATTATTTCTTTACTACTGCTTCTCCTGTATATATGTTTTGTTTCCCTTGCTGGCTAACCTTTCAGGTCCACAAGTCCACTTGCAATGAAAATCAACTCAAGATAGGGTAGTCTAGGATTGAGGCAGTATGTATTTTCACTTTAATGTACTTTTTACCTTTCTTGAGTCAAATCCTGAGTATGGTGGACCCAAGCTAAGTAACCTTTCACACACACACATGGAGAGAAATTTGGTGAGTTAGAGATTTTTTCTATTTTTGACTATATCATATAGGATGATAATAGATCGTCTTGGAGGATCTGTTTAAAAATAGAAACCTAGATTGTGGCATCCAACTAATTAGATGTGATTAAACTAATCATACTAGACGATCCATATCATCCAGGATTATCAGTCAAAAAGATGAAAATAGCTACCAATCATAATTTAGGTAATGTTTTAAGTTTCAAATTTTGTTCTAATCATACAGGACAATGTTCATCATCCTGGATGAATTTTGACAATCATACCAAAATTGATCCTATCATTATGAGAGTAACTATGGTTAAATTATTCAATTAAATTATACAATTTGATCTATATGGATCGTACGAGAAG